GCACCGGGTAACCAGTTGAGGTTGAAGTTGAAGTCAATGGCTACCATCAACTGTTTGGTTACCAACATTTTTTCAAAATATCTTTTTTTGAGCTCAATAAAAGAAAGAAACTCATACAGGTTTGTAACAACTTGAGGGTGCGTAAATGATGACAGAATTTTCATTTTAGATGAACTATCCCTTTAAAGAGTCATGAAATACTAAAACATTTTTGAGGTGTATGTGTGTTGCACATGATGGAAGACATTGTTAGCATTTATATACAAATATCTACAGGTGAAAGCCACGTAACAGGAAGATGTCTCTACCGCTCTGTGATTGGCTTATTACCTTGTTATTGTGATCATGCCCTATTCTTACACTCACAATCATTGCACAAAGCCTGAGTGGGTCATACTGCAGAAAATGGACTAATTACAAAGTAAACAACTCACCCACTCAGACATCATCACTGTCCATCACATATGAATCAAAATGATGAAATCAGTGCGCTGCTTATTAAAGAGCACTCAGCACGATTAAGCAAATGTCTTATACACTACTTAAAGCTGTATCAGACACATTCTACTTGGCATAAAAATTCAAGACTGTATCTAACCTAGGTTATACATCAAGTTGATTCAGTCTATAGCACAGATCTGCCTATATGGTAAGAAACATAACCTAGGATCATTGGACAAAACGTGTCTGTAACCACATTTTTGCAAAACTCCTTTAAACATACCTACATATAATTCATTGCAGGGTTTGGTTGAAATTAACACTAGTGGCAATAAAACATTACATTTTATTTATTTTCCTGAACTATGGTAGTTGATTAATAAAGACTTATTTTCATATAAGTTTACTGTGCATATGTAGTTCCCTATCGATACTTCACTCGTTCTGCATCTTGCTTAATACGCTATGGGGAAAACTCAGTTTCTTCCGATGACTGAAGCCTTTTCAATAACTTAATGTAACTGAATGGCCATTGGTTAGTGCAGTGAATTAAACAGAGTTTAAAATTAATTAATTCGCCTCGACGTGCTCGGATACCGCTGCTTCGGGACCAGAGCCTGCCAGAATGAGCGGGGCCATCTGGCTATATAAGCAGGCATTTCGCCATAGGATCCTCAGATTTCTTCTCTTTCAGCGATGACTGCAAGATCTTCGCTCTACAAGAATCGAAGACTTCGCCGTGAACAAGCCTCACAGCGGATCAAGACGCCTTCCTGCTCGGCTGACTTCGACGCTCCCCAGCCGCCTTCAGCGTCTGCAGCAGCTGCGGTCCCCTGCCTACATCCGGCAATTTCTCTATTAGAGCAAATTTCTAAGAGACAATTTTCTCGGCGTTGTTACAAATGCCACACCGTTATTGTCACTCGTGCAGGGCTCCCCTGCATGCCACTGACAAACACGGCGAGTGTGTTTCATGCTTGGGCGCCGCGGATGTCCTCATTGCGAGGATATGAGTCTCGCCTTTCTGCACTTGCGGTTAGCTTTCTTTTCAGAAAGTGACTCCGCCCCTCGCGCACTCCCGCTTCCTTCCTCCCAGGAACCTGTGAGGAAAAATCAGCGGGACAGAGGAACTTGGCTCTCAAAGACATGTGAGCCCACGCCAGCTGAGCCCCCGCGTCCATCACTCTCTCCTCATAGAGAGGTTTCTCCCATCCTCTTCGCTCACCCGGACCAGCTTCCCTCTTCGGCTGCCAGTGATCTGGTCTCGTTTGATGGGAGCGAGTGCGATGACATGGACGACAGCATGTCTCTGATTCAGATGCGGAAGAGCTGTCGGGCTCGTCTCAAGACCCCGCCTCCCTGCCGTCTGCACAGCCCAGAGCAACCAGCACAGGCATTGACGTCGAACTGTTCCGCATCCTGTCTAAAGCTGTGGAGGAGCTGGGTTTGGAGTGGTCTCCTCCTGAGAATCCACCCGCAGCTGCCTGGAAAAAAATGGTTCTTGCCGGGGCACCGTCAGGCCCCTCGTCAACGGGCTTCACCATTCTTCCCAGAAGTCCATGACAAGATCGCCAGATTTTGGCGCGCTCCCTACTACCGAAGAAAAAGGGTATGACAGACTGCCTCTCTTGGATGAGTGAGTGACCGCACATCTTTGCTCACCCACGGCCATCAGTTGGAAGGCAAAGGTTGCCCACCCATCCAAGCTGTGTAGGACGACTTCAGCTATCGCTGGACGAGTCTATTCGTCAGCTGGACAAGTGGCCTCGGCACTTCACTCCATGGCGGTCCTCCAGGTCTTTCAGGCCAATGAGTCCGGCCCAGACCCCGCAGCTTTTAAAGAGCTGTGCAGCGCGACCGACCTGGCTTTATGCATCACCAAGATGACGGCTCGGGCGATTGGCAGGTCCATGGACAGTCTAGTGGTGCGACCCTTACAGAGGTCAAGGATGCGGATAAGGTCCCCTTCCTCGACTCCCTGGTCTCCCCCACCGGCCTGTTTGGACCTGCGGTTGAGGGTTTCGCTGAATGCTTCACCGCCGCGCAGAAGTAGTCCCAGGCAATGTGACACTTCTTGCCAAAGTGCTTCAGTTCTGCAACTGCTTCCAGTCGCCCCCAAGACGGCGCAGACTCAGCGCACCTCCAGCTGCTCAATCAGCTTCTAAGCTGATAGTGCTGGACCCGATGCCTCAGGCATCTTCCTGATCTGCGGGACAGAAAGAGGAAGGGGCCAAGTCTTGCTACAGCCGGACCACCCCCCAAGCAGCCTCTGTCGTGCCTCCAAGTATCCCGTTCAGTTCCAAGTGCCAACGGCAATGTGCTTGTGGTAAACTATCATTGTGAACTCTGGGCCCGTTCAAATACCGCCCACACAACCGATCGCTGTTATAGCGAGAAAAATAAAACACAAACATTTTCAAAAAGAGAGCAAATTTCCTCTTCATCTTATCATGAGCATCAGGTGGCCTGTCGCTCGAATCAATCCAACCCCTCGCCACATAGGCCGAGGCCTGACAGGCCATCCCCGGAGTGTCAGACTGGGTTTTGGGGATAATAAAACAAGGTTATACAATTCAATTCGCTCAAAGACCCCAGCGTTTCAGCAATGTAGTTTCCACCCCGGTTCAGAGCAAGGACGCACGCGTTCTGCACACCGAGGTGATGAATTTCCTGGCGAAAGGAGCCGTAGAAACGATTCCCCCGGCTCAGAGCGAGTCAGGGTTCTACAGCCGATACTTCCTCGTACCCAAAAAGGACACCAGCCTAAGATCCATCCTCAATATCAGACACCTGAACCGCGCCCTCATGAAATGGCCGTTTAGGATGATTACATTGAAGCAGATCCTCTCGCAAGTGTGCCCATGGGACTGGTTCTTTTCGCTGGATCTGAAAAACACCTACTTTCACATCCAGATAGCCCCCCACCACAGACGATTCTTGAGATTTGCCTTTGAGGGAGTGGCGTATCAATACACGGTCCTTTCCTTTGAACTGTTCCTAGCTACTTGCACTTTTACGAAGTGCATGGATTGTGCTCTTTCCCCGCTGAGACAGATGGGAATTACCTCAACGACTGGCTCATTCTGGCCCAGTCGGAGGACAAGCTACTATCTCACAGATCCGTCCTCCTCAGCCACTAAGATTGCCTGGGACTCAGTGTCAATTTTGCCAAGAGTATGCTGTCCCCCAGTCAACAGATATCGTTCCTGGGAACAGTTCTCAACTCAGCCCAAGAGAGGGTGGTAGTCGCGCCAGAACGTGCACTGGCCATTCAGCAGCTCGCAGCCTCATTCAAAATTGGAGCCTCTCGCCCTCTCTAGGCATTTCAAAAGATGCTGGCTGAAACCACGTGTTCCGCCCCACGCCTGGCGTCTCGGACACCTTCGTGTTAAGGTGGGCCAGGCCTGTGTAACAGCTCTGGCTCCTTGGAAAGACCCTCAGTGGATGGCATGGGGTGTGCCCTTGGGAATGGCTTGCAGAAGGAAGGTGGTCTCGACAGATGCTTCCAACACAGGTTGGGGAGTGCTGTGCGACAGCAAACCGGCTTTCGGCCACTGGTCGAAAGAGGAGGGTCGGCTTCACATCAACTGTTTGGAAATGCTGGCAGTATGTTTGGGCCTCTGCACCTTTCTGCCAGACCTAAGTGGACACCCCGTCTTAGTCCGTTTGGACAGCATGACGGTGGTGTCCTATATAAATTGCCAGAGCATTCTCTCCTCGAAGCGCCTCTTCATTCTGGTAGAGCACCTCTTGGAATGGGCTCAGCTCAACTTCACTGAGAGCAACGCATGTGCCGGGCAGGCTGAACCAGGGAGCAGACATGCTATCTTGGAGCAATGTCCCCTCGGACAAATGGATGCTCCACCCACAAACAGTTCACAGAATCTGGGAGATTTTCGGCAATGTCTGCTAGAATGTTAAAAAATGTGCAGTGTTAAAAAAAGTAAGTATTTTTAAATTGTTGTTTTGTATTAGTGTACAATGTTTACAAATAATAATTTATTCTATGTAGTGTCCATTTAATTGATTTCACATTTAATATTGGAGGCATCCAAGTTATTTTACATTTGAAATTTTTTTTTTAAGTAACGCAATACTTACTTTCCCTGGTAACTGGTTACTTTTATAATGATGCAACTCAGTTACTAACTCAGTAACTCAGTACTAACTATTTGTGAGAAGTAACTAGTGACTATAACTAATTATTTTTTTTAAAGTAACTTGTCCAACACTGGTCACTACTATTGCACTATAATGCTGCTTCTGCCAC